GTCCATCAATTCAGATAGAATCAGATGAATGGAAGAAGAGAAATGGTTTAATAAATGAAGGGACAGCTCCTGCTGTAACAAATTCTGGAAATATAAAGAGTTGCAAGTATATCATTCATGCTGTAGGTCCTAAATGGACGAATGTATTAATTCTACATATTGATCTTAAATATAGGGTTAAAGAGATGATGAATAACTACTTTACGATTGTATTAAGGATACATGTAGAACTGCATGTAAGTACAATTTAAAATCAGTTTCTATCCCAGCTATTTCTTCAGGGATATTTGGATTCCCTAGAGAATTATGTGCAGCTCATTTATTCAGGGCTGTGGAAGATTTTTGTTTTGAAAATAGACCAGAAATCTTAGTAGACTCTATTCCTACTTTGAGATTTGTTAGATTCACTAACTTTGACTACCCGACAGTCGAAGAATTTTAGAAGTAATTTAATTAAAGATATAATAAAAGATAATAATGCATTCCTTTTACAGGCACTTTAAACTAAGGATATTAAAATAATTTGGAGTAATCAAATAGTGCTTCAAGAAAAAGCTATTGCCAACAAGATTTCCCAATAAATGATGAAATGATAAATAAGGTAAAATCACATAAGAAAGAAGTTTAAGATTAAGAGACCTAAACTCTTTTATCTTACGATGAAGTTGAAATGAGAATAGAAAACTAGATTAGGAATTAAATCAAAAAAGAATTAGAAGCTTAATATTTTTAGAAGTATTAAGATCTTGTAGCCAATTGGGACTACGAAAGATAATAGCTCTTGGAAAGAGATTAAAATTTTTAGAACTATAATTAAAGTTAAAATTCTCATTTCAACTAGAATTATTAATCTTCTGGAAATGGTTAGCATTATGATTAGCAATTAAGGAACAATCATTAAACGAATTATCAAAATTAATGGCATAGTGGTTATGATCCTAGTTAGAATAGTAATGGGAATATGAGTTAGTAATATATGAATAGCAATCAAAACTATTAGCAATACAACCAAAATTACAGTAACTACTAAAATAGCACCAATTCCAATCATTAATACTCGAGACATTCTCAAGGGAATGACCTAGATAGATAAAGAGGAAAATATAATTGATATTAAAAATATATAATGATGTGATCAAATTGCAAAATTGCAAAATTTAAAGCATATATTTTTTAAAAGGTGCATCATCAATTCTATTTGATTTAATTATAAAATATCTTAATTTCTTTATTAAATTTTAAGTACGGGGTTTTGGGGTTTTGGGGTTTTGGGG